TCTCTTTCTGTTTCGCTTTCTCTCTCTCTTAAAATATCAGAAATGCTAAGTCTGAGCTTCCCTGTTTTTTTTTTCTAAGAGAGTTATGGAAGATCTCAGATATGTGTTGCAAGCCTTCCATGCTCTTTAATTGGACAGGGGTAGGGAAAAGGAGGTCAAGGGGAAGAGAGGAGTTTTAACAAAGAGCTCTTTTCTCCGAAGTGTTTACTGGCTATTTGAGTTCAATAAATGCTAATAAAAACAAACAAAAGCCATCTCGACTAGAAACCTCTGCCCCTCTCAGTTGCTTCAGTTTTGATCACTTTGTTGTCATAGTTCAGCTAGTCATCTAGTTTTACAGAGAATCCCAATGAAACTGAAACCTGGCTTTCTAATGTAAAAACAGAAATCTCTCACTCCTTTAAAAAAGGAAAGGAAGGAAAAACATTCAAAACACTTTCAGTTCTACATGCATCCGAAAAAAGGGAACAGACCCAGTTTCTCTTTTTAACGGGTTACTTTATCTCATCTGTCTACATCAAGCTTGTTCAGCTCAGTCAGATGAGACAAGGCTGTCATTTTCTATCCCATTTATTTCCCTTATTTTTGGCTGGGAGTCTCTGAAGTCCAACAGCTATTATGATGGGTGCTTGGAATAACTCTTGGTTCCTTTTCTGCAGATTTTAACTTTGCCATGTATCCACCATCAATGATAGCAACTGGAAGTGTGGGAGCAGCCATTTGTGGCCTTCAGCTTGATGATGGGGAACGTTCTCTCTTTGGTGACAGTCTAACAGAACTCCTGGCCAAGATCACAAACACAGATGTGGTAAGTACTCCCAAAATTTGTTGTGGTGGTTGTTATTTCTTTGCTGAGAAAGCTGTGGAAAATATGACTGGTGTTAATTTATCTGACCCTAGAAGGCTGAGCGTGCAGCAGCTTGAAGTCAGGGGGAATGCTAATTCCACTGACAAAGCGCTTGAAGGACATCATTACAAAGCACAGAGAGTGGCTCAAAATGTGAACCTGCTAATAGTGAATTGCTTTTCTGTGGCTGCCCAAGATATGGGTCTTGGGCAGTGGTCACCAACCAGTGGATCTCGATCCACTGGTAGATCTCAGAGCCTCTTAGAATTGATCTGAGGCTGGGGTGGGGGTGCTGAGTGCCTGTATGCATGGACACACATGCCCCAGCCCAGCAAGTCAGTCCGTGGGGGAGGGAAAGGGCAGGGGCTAGAGTGAGGAACAGTGCCGCAGAAGCAGGGGGAGGTTGAGTGGGGCCACGGCCAGGTGGGACTGACCTGCTGGGGAAGCACGCTCCCAAATAATTTTTTCTCCCTCTACTTCAATCTGCCCTGCCTTCCCTCTCCCCAGACTTACCTGCTGGGAGGGGCAGCGAGGGGGGTGGCACATGATAGATCTTGGGTTGCTTTTAAATGCCAACGGTGATCTCCTGCTTAAAAAGATTGGAGACCACTGGTCTAAGGTCAGGGTCTTTCTCTGTGTTGTCTTGGCAGCCTCTGCTCTTGTCTCTTGGGAAGCCAGGGAGAAGGCAGGGCTGTGGGCTTTCCCTCATCCCAAGTGGACCTGTTACAGAAGGGAGCACACCCTCAATCCTCTTGAGGGGTAATGAAGAAAACGTGTGGAGGGCCTTGGGATTCCCTGACCTTCCTCTGATCCATGAACTACTGTGTTAGGGGCTTAACATGGCCCTGTATACACAGCCCACGGAGAAATGCAGATTGTTCTAACTTTCACCAAAGCACTGTTTTAAAGGGCTTTTGATCTGAAAGAAGCTGTAGAGATCTTTAGTCCTACAGTGCTGACAAAAAGTAAGGTGGGCATAAGAGGGAATATCTGGATTTTGTCCTCATGCGCCATGGATGATATATACAAATAATTAGCTCAGCTCAGCTCAGTTTCAGTTCCCTTCAGTGTGAATTCATAGCACTGAGGGTACTTCTTCAGCTGTAAGAGAGTCCTGTCATGAATAGCAGAGGTGACTAATGGCTGTTTAATAGACCATGACATGTGGCAGTTTCAGGTCATTTTCTAGTGGGCACATCACCAAAACCAAAAACTAGCACTCTTGTTGCCAGTCTCACCAGATAATTTGAGGCCTGAAAACAGATCACTGCAATGAACTTACTTGGGTGCCCTGAGAGGCAGTCCCTCAAGATCTCGGTTGAGCAATGATGGTGGGGCATTGTGGGGGAGGTTCATCTTGCTGCAGTCCCAAACACTCCTGGTCTGTGGCTTAACACAGGATTCCCATCTCCACAATTGTTAAAACAACGTATGTCACCAGCGTGACATTCACTCAAAAGAAAAAGAAGAAAATGGGTGAGAGTTTCTGACACATGTCAAAACAAGATGCTACTTTTTCTATTGTCAGTATGTAATAAAATATGAATCATTGTATTTTTAATCTTGCAGACTGGATATTCTGGGTGATTGTATTTTTTTAATACCTAATGGTTAAGACAGTGATTCTCAACTAGGGTGCCATAAGATCTTTCTAAGAGTGCCATACGGTGCTGCACAGTAGCCACACACGGCTAGTTGTGCAAACACCTACACAAGACTCACAAGATAAATACAGAGATTTCAAATAGAAATCCACAATGTCAAAAACATTCTGACCTATTGTGGTCTTTCTGAGTTCTTTGCAACAGAAGAATTGTGCTATTTTTCTGTAGTAAAAACAATGAATGAAAGCTAAGAGCTGGCATTTTCTGAGGGGTCCTTTGAGTTTAGTTGTGTTAAAATGTGCCAGAAAATCACATTTTCTTCCTTTCAATCTCATCATTCCTATTTTTAATGTGAATTTTTGTGGGGGGGGTTAATTTTTTATTTGGAAATTAGTTTGCACAAAAACGACATGTGGGGGGTTTTAATTTTTGAGTTGGAAATTAGTTTGCACAAAAACAACAAAGCTTTGAATTTTGCATGCTATTGATCTGAATTGAATAGCTGCAATTGTAGAAAGTTTGTGTCCAGGCTGTTTCTGGTTCTTAGAATGAAATGAAAATTTTCATACTCAAGAACTCTTTGTTGCCTTCTGTATATCTGTACTGTAGATGTTGTGAAGAGCAAGGGACTGTGTGAGCAGTACAATAACAGTAAAAAGCAAGGTAATGCAATAAGAGAGATCACAAATATTTAGGCTTTATGTTTTGATGAAAATGGAAATAAGTTACCATATAGAGCTTCTTTAGTTGTTTCATTTATACTGGATGGATGGGATCCATTATGATTATTTCATTCCTGTGGAAACCAAAAATACTCTGTGTTACTGGCTGAGCAAAGCTCACTGCACATCTCTTTCAGTGGAACATGCTATCTTTTGAGTGCTGCATACAATCTTCTGACATTTTAGGGATTATTTTGGGTTGGACGACCCCTCTTGCTAGAAAGGTGGCATTGGGAGTGTATGGAGACCCTGGCATGAGGTTAGCACAGACATGAGCTTCAGCAAAGTCTGGAATTGTTTGTACATCAAAGAACTTGTTCATGGTAGCCTAGAACACCATACCCGCACCTCCATTTTGCCCTTGTCCCAATTGAGATTAATATAGGGATGCTATAAATGATTTATCTCACAGACAGAAAGAAAAGCAATAGTAATGATGGTGAGAAATGAGAATCGGGAGGGGCACCAACAGGAGGTAAGGAATGGGGGAATTATGTTATGAGGGAAGTGAGACGTAGGGGACACATTGAAACCTTAGCATGAGACAAGCATGAGGGGACAAATAGTCCTTGATAAGGGGAGAGGAGAAGATGGGGAACAGTGATATGGATGGGTGAGGGAGACAGCTCGACTCACAGGGAGCCCCCGGCCTGGAAAGGGAAGGGAATGGGAAATACCTATTAAGTAGAAATATATCAAAGTTGATGGGAGGCATTGGTGACGTGTAGGGGGTGCACATGGGTGCATGTGCACTCCCTGAGCTTGGCAGTGCACCCCCTGTGAAAAGTGCCACCAACAGTTGCTGCTCACCCCCCCTTTGCCATTGATACTGCTGACAGCATCTGCAATTGCCGCTGGCCGCTGCTGCTGGCAGCATCTGCAGGTGGTCGCTGACCACTGGTTGGAACTCACCACCCCCCATGCTACTGACACCACTGCAGCCACCTGCGGGAGCTCCCCACTCAGCCTGCCCCACCACCGACACTGCTGCGGCTGCCTGTGGGAGCTCCCTGCTTGCTGCCGCCATGACCCCACTGCCACTGCCGCCTGTGGACAGTTGCCATACCCCCCTAGCCTCTGGGGGCACGTGGCATTCATAGTGGGAAGGAGTGCATTAGAAGCAGGCTTCCATTGGCATTGAGTTGAAATGGAGCACTTCGCTTCCTTTCGCACCCAAGAACTCCCCTCTCCCCTTGTAATAGTTTTGAGAGAGGTTTTCTGAGGTCATAAATAAGAGGCACTTACATTCAGGTCTCTCTGACAGCTATCTAGACCTAGTGTCCCTCATCTGGGTTCAGAGCTCTTCCCCTCGTTCATGGTTGAGAGGGTTAAGGCTGTGGCCTAGCCTGTCACATAATGACATTCCCAGCCTCCCTAAGCTCAACCAGTAGTCTTGATATTGTTTCCATAGTAATTGGCATTCATCCGGCAGGGGGAAAGGAGCACAGGGAGCCTGTACTGTACTCTGCAAGTCCTAATAGGACTAGATGTGATGGGGCTGTATTCTCTCCCCAGAGGTTGGGTGGTCACTTAAATGCTTTGAGAGTTGCTCCCTTGTGCAGGTTGCCCCAGGGATTTTTCCATTATTGCTGTTATGCAGTATGCAGAGGAGTTTTGAGTTGCAGTGGCATCAGCATGCTGTTGATATTCAGCTCTGCGTCTCCTTTTCATCTGACCCAGACACTGCAGACCCAGTGTCTCGCCAAGCTTGTGGCATGGAGTCGAGCTAGCTGGCAAAAACCCCTTCTGGATAATACAGAGGTGGCACTGGTGGCACAGGGAAAATATTTGTACAATTTCACAGTGGGGATATGTACTCCCTTAGGTGGTGGGAAGGGCATGCTATAACATACGTATTAATGTGGTCTGCATTGTAGGGTCCCATGGGATTACTAGTTATTCGTAATTCTCAGTTACTAGGAAAGAGCACTTTTTTGTTCTATTTTGTAAGCAAGGAGAGTGTTGCATTCCTCTCTGAGATGGCCCTTGCCACAGTTACCCATGCCTTAGTCATCTCCAAGTTGGCATACAGCCACTCACTTTCCATGGGGCTACCTCAGAAAAACATTTAGAAACTCCCAACTCATGCAGAATGCAGCTACTCGCATACTTTCTCCTTCAAGGACCACATCTCTGCAGGCTGTGCTGTTTGTTTTTGGTTTTTTTTTTTTTTTGTTTTTTTTGGGGGGGGGGGGGTTATTTGCTTCTAGATGCAAGTCAAAGCAATGCTACTTTACTTTAACCTGTAAAGCCAATTAAGTTTGAACTTTCAGCTATGAAGCCTGAATTTCCCTGTGTTCCCTCTGCTGACTGAAATGTTCTGGGGAAAATGTGAAGTCTTCTGGAGAAGCAGAGTAGTAAGGAATCTTTAGGGTGGATTTGGGGGGTGGGAGAAGTGAAGGGGTTTAGGTTCTGGGGTGGGGTTGCCTTTGGTCCAGCATAGCTGAAGTTAATTCACTTTCAGAATATTATAAAAGCCTAAGCTTGAGAAGGCGGGGAGGGCTGAGTCTCTTTGGTTTTCCGAGGAGCTTCTACAGTTTCTCTTGAGTTAATATTATCACTTTTAAGGTTTCCTGGTACTTCTCATCATAAGATGCTATTAATTGAAAACCTTTTGTTATTTGGGCTGAATTTTTGCATCCGGGCTTTTTGCTTCAGCCTGAGATGCTTTGGGAAATTACATCTGCTTCTGAGAAAAGGATAGGAAAATACTGGTTAGAAATCCCAATGACCAGTTGTTTGAAAAGTTCTAGCACCCTTGTTGGAAGGGCGACTTGAATTTTCGGCAGGAGGCCTTTGTCTCAAGGGTGGGCCTTTTGACATCCTAGTGAACAGCCACCCAAATCCAGCCAGGCTACACCTCTGAAAAATCAATTCCCTATTATTCAGTAGAGAATGCTCAGATTTTAGTGGCTGACGTCACTGAAGATTTTGTCTGCAATGGGCATGTTCCAAACCAGGGCTGAGCACGACTTCCCCTGCAGTTGTAGCTCTGGACTGCTGCAAGCTGAGGTAGGATCATGTCCAGGCACTTCAGCTGAGAGCAGGTAGGTTCTCTCTTCTGTGCTGTCAGCGAGCACCTTTCCTATGCCTCCGCAGCATGGGGAGAAGGAATTTGCCTATTTCAAATACTGAGGGTGAAGACTCAGACCAGTGGGGCTGCAAGAAAATCGACCGGGACAAAGAGCATGGGAGGGGGACAGTGGTACCAGGGGCTGGTACTAGGGAAGAGATGGAAACCAGGAACAAGGTATTGGGCTTGGGGAGACTGGGGCAAGGACCTTGAGGGTAAGAATGAGATGGGGCAAGGAGCACTCTAAAAAGATTTGGACTGGGAGCCTTTAAAGATAAGGAATATTGATATGGCCCCTTGGGTTCAATCAGGGGTGAGGGACAGAGGGAACTGGAAATGACTGGGCAAAGAGACAAGGGAAAGTGTCTGAATGAATAGGGGTGGCACTGGGGTTGTTAGGCAAGAACACTGAGAATATGGAGTCTGGAGAAAGAATAAGACTCACTTGTCAGGGAGACTGGGACTGGATGTAGAGCTGAACCAGTGGAGTCTGGGACTCAGGAGATTGTGAGGATGGGTTGGCAGAACTTGTCAAACTTAGGGAGAAACAGGCAGATGATTTTGTGCCCGATAGAGCATACTGTCTTCCAGAGCTAGGAATGGAGCCCAAGATCCCTGAATTTCATTCTTCCTCTGCTGTTAACAGATACCTGTGACATCCAGTACAAAGTGTATGCCTGATCCCCCCTGGTGCTTATCTGCATATAGGGATAACAATCTGCGTCTGCTATTAGCTACTCTGTTAGCTTCTGTGGCAGAGTTGTGTGTGGCCTCTCAGGAGACCCCAGCCCTGCTGGTGTCCATGTGAGTGTCAAAATGATGCTTAGTTGGCCTAATGAAAGATATCAGATTTACCCAAAAAACCTTGTCTGCTTATGTCCTTAGACCAACACAGCCAGAACATAGACCCCTGAAAAATGATGTTGAGACTTTCAGGAGGAAGGGTACCATTTCTTGTTTTAAAAAAAAAATCAGCTGTGTTAAAGGAACTTTATCATGATTTCAGTCAGGCACATGCCAGAAATGAGGTTTCCATGCAGCCTTTATTTCACCTTCTGTTGAAGGTGTATATGATGATAGATTATGATAAAGCCTTTAATTACTAGTCCAGGTTCTTCTTCCACCCCTAAGCTGGTTCCAAGCTCTTCCCCCCATCCACCCGCAGGTTTGGACCTGGATCCTCTTAATTTGATCATGGCAGTTTCCTCTTTCACACTGGATAAATCCAGAAAGGAAGTCACTGGGAGCACAGAAGAGAGAGTCTGCCTTCCCTCAATCCCAGAGCCTGGTAGCCCACAGTTCTACTCAGCCTCAAGTTGAATTATGCTCAGTACAGACAGAATTTTTAGGTAACTTGGCCTAGAGCACATGGGTGAACTTTGATTTTGCAAAGGTTTAATAACTTGGTCAAATTTTGAGTGAATTTTCACTGGGATGGGAAAAACCACATCCTTGACACAGAGGCCATCATCTCCCAAATGTTAATTCCCTGCTTCAAAGCATGGGGTCTTGAGATGCTTTCTAACAAAAGGTCACCACATTTTTTTAACTTGAGCAAAAGACCATATTTTGACCCAGCCACATCCTCAGAAATGTCTGAACAGCTTTCGACAGAAATTTTCCAAAACAATGCAGACTTACACAGATGTCCAGGATGGAAAATTTCAGCCCAGGTAACTACATACAGGGTGCATCTACACAAGATGTTTACTGTGCAGTAAACTAATTAGCTACACAGTAAACAGTGCACGTCTACACACGTGCCCCTATTAGGCTGAAGTAAATTAATTTACTCTGCAGTGGGTGTGTCTACATGTGCATTAGATCCAGGAGCAGTTTACTCATGAGTAAACTACTCACGAGTAAACCAGGCAGGTATCCGCACATGCAAGGAAGTGAGGGCAGATTTGCTGCTAATGTCTGCTAACTGCCACACTGGCGGATCAGAGGAGGGGGCTGGGATCTACGCCACCCCTTTAGCTTTTTCCAAGCCCCATTCCTTGATCATCTGATCGGGGCACAGGGCTGGGATCTGCCCTGACCAGGGCAGATCCCAGCCCCCAATCCATGATTGCAGAGGCTGAAAAGCCTGTTCCCCACTCAGCTCCATGAGCACAGAGCTGGGTGAAGAACAGGCTGGGGAGCTTATTCTCTGCTCAGCTCCATGAGCATGGAGCTGCATGGGAAACAGGCTGGGGAGCCCTTCCCTGCTCAGCTCCGGGAGCATGGAGCTGGTTGGGGAAGACACTGCTCAGCCCCCACCAGCAGGGAGCTCCCACAGCCAGCTTTACAACCACGGGGCTAGCCCTGGAAAATCTTTATCTCCCAGCTTTCCAATCACAATAGCCAATAAGGATCTCCTAGCCCCCGCTCCCTGATTGTGATCTCAGAGCAGGGGGGCTTGGAGCTCCCTGCTGCTGTGGGAGGAGGACATAGTTCCCACCCAGGCTCCAGTGGTGGAGCCTGACCTGGCAGCAAGCAGCTCCCAGGGGCAGAGACCAATCTTCTGCCCCCTGGTGGCTGGTCAGGTGTCTGCACAAGCACTACTTCCGCAGTTAGTAATGGCAAGTAGATTTGCTACTTGGATTTGCAGGTAGCAAATTTACTTGCAATTAGCGAGGTTTACTGCACAGGAAGCTATGCTGCTGCACAGTAAATCATCTCGTGTAGACGCACCGAGTAAATACAAGTACTATCCTGCTTCAGAGTTTTTTACTCTGCAGTAGTGCACGTGTTGATGCTGCCCCAGCTGGCTGTGTAACGAATGTGTCTCAGTGCAGAGGCTGCCTGGCGGCTAGCCCCCCACTGATGCATCTTAGTGCCCCAACCAGCCCCTCCACAGCACATTGATTTGAGGGGAGCAGCCCCAGGCTGGCAGGCTGACCCCTGAGCCCCCTGACAGCCAGGACTGCTCCTGCCTGGCTCAGCATGACATAAGTGCAAACGGCACACCTAGAGCAATATACTCTAGCATGATAAGCTCCGGAGTTTTGCTTTGCATGAATATGCACGCATAGATGCACCCACGGTTTGGCAAAGTTATAAACAGCAAAAGGTAGGGTCCTAAAAGGGAATAGAATGAGGTCACTTTAATAGTAGATGGTGTTACTAGCACCACCATAATGAGCACCTGTTATTGTAGGAAAGAAAGATACCAGCTTTCATTTTTAAGAATTATCCTGAGGCTGCATTAACAAAGGGTGATGTTTCCCACAGTGGAACAGAGTCAAAAGTTGTGCATGCCACTTTAATTGACTCGTT